CAACGACGAATAGTTAGGAAAGAAAAGGAAACCCCCTCCAGGCTGTAACAGCTGCTGTTGAACTCTTAGACTTTCTGATATATCCTTTGTCTAAATCTTTGCGTATCCATTCTTGGAGCAAATTATCTTCAACCAGGGTGAGATGGTATCCTTTTGCTGACTTGGGGAGTTCCTTGCCTTCCTCTATGTCTATCGCATGATCATAGGGCTTTCTCATAGGCATCCATTCTGAGGCCCTTTTACTAAAGACTTCCAAATAATCTTTGTAATGCTTGGGAACTTGGCCTCCTTTAACATCTTGAACTCTTTCTTTATCTGCAATACTTCTGATTACGGAGATTGTGTTGTAATTCTCCTCTGTGATCTGGACCCAGTTCAATTTGAGTCCTCCTGAATTCTTGATGTTTTCCTGCTTGAGATGTTGGGTCATCCCAATGATAGGCCCACGTAGCACATGGGCGTGCCTCAAGTTGAACTCAACATCCGAAGCATTTGAATCTTACGCCTTCGGGGATGCCTGCGATACCTCAACACGAAATCACCTTCGAGCAAAGCCTGCCCTTCGATATCTTTGAAGCTTCACGATCTCACGACGATCCGATTGGGATCTTTTGGTGGCAGCTTTATTCCAGGGGCTCGACTTCAAAGACAAAACCCCATCATCCGGAGATTGAGACATATGATACAGGGCCGCCGGGTAAACCTTTAGGTCAGTGCGCTCGGGTCGCAACACCAAGACTTGCAACGGTCGGGCCTCTGAGACTAGCAGGTATAGCATGTGAGATGGGAGTTGAAACTGATGGAGGCATTGGACGGGAGTAGGAAGGATATCAGGATCATTTGGCACGGTCAGGGCAGTGGAGGCGGTGACTCAGGAAGTTCAGGCAGGATGAGGGATATTTAAGAGCAGTTTTGCATGGTTTTAACGCAGTACTCGGCCCCTAGTAGCAAGACTTGTGCAGAATCACATCCCCCACTCAGCAGAGCTCAGTCTGGCTTTGAAACTTCTTCAAAGTGTTGCATCTCCCCACGAACTACGACTACGATCCTCTGAACTATGTCTGCAACCTTCCGAACTACGCCTACAACCTTCGAACTATGCCTATGACCTTCAAACCTCGTCCCATACCAGTACACCCCCTCAAGGTACACCTACGCATACAGCTAAGTACTCCAAAGTTCTGTTCTTGCACCCGACCTTCAAATGAGACTCGTGTGTCCACGCTCAAATTGCACTTTGCATTTGAGTCATCGAACTAGTTCCTCTTTTTACCTTCCCTCTGCTTCTATGAAGTCAGAGTGTTTGGATGGTCCGAAACAGCCTTGTGACACCATCCTGAGAAAACATAGTGAAGCTGTTGCCATTTGAGCGAGCTATCAAAACTACAAGCCCTCACCCCCATCAGCTTCCCTGAGAAACAGAAACTCACCCTCTAGTTTGCACCCCCAAGTTAGGGTTAGGTTTCCCAAGGTCGCATCACCGAAAGCATCAGGCAATTCATCTTCATAGAATAAACCAATCTTGTGTGCTTCCTCGTATTGTACTGACACTAAATCATGTTTCTGATTGGTTAATCCACACTTTTCTTTGCACTTAGTCATGTTCCATGTTCATGCAGTCCAATCAATCTCAGGGTTATGTCATCTCAGGTAGCTCATCCCGATTATCATGTCCTTGTTCCCTAGGTCTATTACCAGATATACATGATGACTTTCGTGATCACCAATCTTGATGAATGCTATCACCATAGTATTGATCTTTCCTCCCTTATTAAGAGATCTGTCTGCATTAATCACTGTGAAAGGATGAGGGAGATCCTCCTCAAACAGCTGATTATTGTGAACAAATTCCTTGTTTATGAACATTGAAAACGCTCCTGAATTGACTAGTGCTTCAACCACTACTATTCTGTTTCCTTTCACATTCAATTCCACTGGGACAGTAAACTTGGATTTCACTTTCGACATATTATACATGGTACTTTCTGTTATTGTACTATTTACATGTCCAGAATTGTTTGCACATTGTGAACTGATGAAACTACAGTCTAACTCTAAGGTAGCCTCTAGAGTAGATGTCTGGGAAAACCCGTTATTTCACTTTCTGACTCTATGTCTGAAATATGGGATTTCTCTGCAGTTTTCCTAACTGCCTTGCCCTTTGCTGATTGTGACATTAAAGTGGTTTCTATTACCTTTACGGTTTTTCCTGGCTTCCCTATGGCCCTTGATTTTCTGACTACACAGATTTTCTCTTTGCTATTGTAGTTGCTATCAGATACTTTGATTTCTCTGATCTTTCTGAAGCTAGGCTTTGAGTAATTTATGGTTTGACTGGTTGTGCTTGACCCTGAAAGTTTTCCATCCTTTGTACTGGACTTTGGCGTAGATGTCCTGCTTTGCCATTTAACATTTGGACAGCTCTTGCCCTGATGTCCTTCCTTCCCACACTTGTAACAAACACCCTTCTTTCTGGCTTCAGCAAAAGTCATTACTGATGCTTCCTTTGCTTTTCCCTTCCTTTCCATGCTGTTGACATCCATTGTGTTGGGATCTCATTTTGATCCACCTGATGTATGATGTACCATAGACATAGACTGTTCTTCACCCATGTCTCTGATGATCTCGATAATTAGATTACAGAATAATGACCATTCCTTTGGCCACTTGGTTCTCTGAATACTGGCTAGCACTTGCCTGATTGGCAAGGCTATTCTGTCCTGAATTAGCAAAATGTGCTGTTTGTCACTTTGTTTTACTAATTCTGCAAGACCTCTGTATTCTCCAATGAATTTTGTGGTGTCTCTTATCACGACATTCTTGTACCTCATTTACATCTTCTCAAACCCGGCATTATGGTCCTCCTGAGGGTCCGTTGTGGTGAATGCTCTCCTCAGCTGGTTTAGGAAATCTTAATAACTACCCAATGGCTTGTTCTTCTTGACTCATTGGTAGTAATTGTTTACTACAGCGTGTGCTCTACCTTCAAGCAAGGTCAGCACACCATTTATCTTCTGTCTGTCATCGTCAATCATGTGGTGTGTGAACCACATGGCACATTACTTGACAAACTGCTCAAATGTCTGCTCCTTGGTGTTCTGTGCAAACTTGCTGGGTTGCACCACCTTGAGCCACATTATCTTGTTTCCTCCTGAACTGACTGCTCTTCTGCTTGCTTTTTCATCGACTCTTGCTAGTTTTTCTTGTAACTCATTGATCCTTGCTGCGAATCCCACTTCTTGTACCAATATCTTTTGGTTTGCCTCCTGTAGACTGGTGGCCTGACCAATATTGGTTTCTTCTAATGCCAGCATCCTTTCTTGCAGTGCATTTAACTTTCCTGTTACCTGGGTTAAAACCCCATCCACTTCACTATAGACAATTCCTAGTGACCCATCTAGTAACCATTTTACTTGCACTTTTTCTACATCTGAGAATGACGCTGGTAGTCATTCTGTTACATGTCGCTGAGAAACTCCACTCCTGCCTAATATAAACTCATTGGTTGGTTCGGGATTCATTCTTTAATCAATTTCTTCTTCCTCTGCATGAATTTATTTGTGGACTTGATTTTCTGAATGTTTTGTTCCAGGTGATTGCTTGAATTACTGGTAAATCTGTGTACCACCAACATCTGTTCCAGAAAATGAACAATATCATTCAACATGGAAGATTGGTTCTTTCGACCAATGGAAACTTTCTAAGTGATATCCAATATTGGCCTAAATACTGGGGAATACCTGTCCAACTGACTCTGATCCCCTAGTTGTAACACATGCTTCACAACTCTGCTATATTGTCCCTCTCTGGTGAATCTCTGCCCTATGGGACTATTCCTGAAACTGATGACCCTTTCTGAGAACTGATGAAGCAACCTTCTTATGAGTGGCCCATAGAAGTCACACCCCCTAAGTTCCACTATGTCACAAATTGATGTTAGCCTTGCATATAGAAATAGCAGGCATTTCTTGTCCAGTTCCAACAGCGATGTGCTGAACTCTGCATGGTTGTGTACTAACTCTACCACCCAAATTCTAGCTTCTCTTAACTTTCTCTTGTCAAGGAAAGATGGTGCGTCCTCTCAATGTCTCCTTTGTCATCATGCCTGTCATGCTGGAGCTGTGTTCTACCTTTCGTATGGCTGAGGTCTATACTGTTCTCTTTTGTAAGGTGGTGGCCCTTCTCTTCTGGATTCTGATGATGTTGTTAGTATTGACAACTCTGTCGATACTGCTGTGGATGATGCTGAGTGACTTAATCTGTGCTCAATCAAAGCGCGCCTGTGGAAAACTCCTCATATGACTGTGCCTACTCTTTCTCCTGTTCTTCTATCCTCGACTATGTAGTTGGCATCTTCTAAAGCCTCAATTGCTGTCACTACTTGTTCTACCTCAATTGGACTGTCCCCTCTGTGTTGATCTAAGTATGCTCATAGTTCGTGGGTGATGTTGAACTTGGCGTCAATTCTGGTAAACTCTCTCTCTTTGGTGGAGGTAGGGGTAGTTGGCTGGGGAGTAGTGTTTTGGGGTCCTTGGAATTCTCTGGCAGGGATGGGAATAGGGGCAGGGGAAATGGTTTGAGCTTCTTGATGGTCCTGGTAGGAAACAACAGATGAAGTGGAAGACACTTCACCCCAACTGGGCAAGCCTTTTGATCTAGACTAAACCAAACTCCTCCACTCTGCAAGACTTCTGAGGAAACCTCTGATTGAATCCACAAGACAGTGGTCAATATAGAGGAGACTAGTTATAATGTCACACGAAGACTCGCCATAACTGCCTCCTAGATCCTAAACCTAACCCAATACTACTCACTGGCTAGTGTTACTTGAGTAAAGGGCTTTGATGTAGTTTACTGTAGAGGATGGCTTAGAATAAAGCAAGTGAATGACTATAACTAGTCTGGCCCTAACTGGCACAGACCTACCGGCT